GATGTTTGGCAATCCCCATGACGTTTCAGGTTATCCCTCCTGGTGAACGATTTGGTGCACAATTCGCAGCTAATCATTTTTTAAAACAGATATTCACAAAATTAAAAATCCGCTGTTTATGGAGGTTTGTTCTAAAGTAAATGGAAAAATAAAACCAGTTTAAATTAGTAAAAGTAACTACCTAAATTTTAGAAAAAGAAATTTGAATTTTGTGTAAATGTAAGAGAAAAAGGAAATTCAAGTTGTTTCGAAAAAAACTATTGGAATTAAATTAAGAAATAGGTATGTACAGGGTGGCCCAAATTCGACCCTTATCATTGGGATCTCGGAAACCGTAAGAGATACGTGGTCGATTAAACTATAGCAAAGTTGCGCAATTTTATGACCAATAGAATGCCGTTTTTGAAATTAGAAAGATTCCGAATACTTCCCGAGATATTCGACGTTTCGTCTTCAAGGGGCCATCATCAACTTACTTTTTTTAAATACGGACCTGGATTTTTTATTTGCGATTTTGTAATCTTTGGGCATCCTAAAACCGATACTGTTTATAATTTTCCAATAATACAGAAGGTCCTTATTTAAAAAAAATAAATTGAGGATGATTCCAGAGGAACGAAACATTGGATTTTAAAGTCAGTACAGCCATATTGCAGAGAAGAAAAAGTGACAATGTGACAAAATCTTCTTAATGAAATCAGGAAAAAATTTAAAAAAAAACGAAAAATTCATGTTTTTTTCGTATACATAGTTATTTTTTCCTGACTTTATTTTAGGAGATTTTGAAAAACTAATTTCACATAGACACTGTCACTTTTTCCTCTCTACAAGATGACGGTATTAATTTTAAAAACCAACGTTTCGTTCCTCTGCAATCATCATCAATTTATTTTTTCTTAAATACGGACCTGCTTTTTTTACTGTGTTATTGAGAAATTATAAACAGTATCGGTTTTAGGACGCCCAAAGATCATAAAATCGCAAAAAAAAATCCAGGTCCGTATTTAAAAAATGTAAGTTGATGATGGCCGCCTGAAGACGAAACGTCGAATTTCAAATTTAGTAGCACCATCTAAAGGGGAAAAAGTAACATTTATTTTAAAATAGCTCTTCAAATAAGCCCAGGAAAAAATAAAAACGATTTTACGTTTTTTCCGAATATCTCCGGAAGTATTCGGAATCTTTTTAATTTAAAAACGGCATTCTATTGTTCATGAAATTGCGCAACTTTGCCATGATTTAACCGATCCCGTATCTCTTACGGTTTCTGAGATCTCAATGATGAGGCTCGAATTTGGGCCACCCATGTCATTGGGCCACCCACATTACCTAGGGTTGTCTGTAATAGTATTTTTAAAAAGCAAACAATATGATTGTGTATTGATGAAAATTGAAATAATTAACAAATCAAGGTTTGTGTTGATTTAAAAATTAAAAATATTTAAATTTTATTAAAATATGTCTTAGGGCAAGAATTATCCTACATCACTTAGATATATAAAAATAGTACTTACAGTTTTTCGAAACCGACACTTATCACACAATAAACTAAAATTACTGTCAACCCAACCAAACCAAACTTTGAAAATCCAGGCTAAAAGTACTGGTACTGAATGCTGCTGCTGGCTGCTATTGATTCAACGGGAATCCGAGAAGCGCGTGTTTAAGGAAAATAAAAATTGAATCCTCATCTTTTACGGGTAACGATGTATCCACTGAAATTTTGTATTGCATAAGGGTGCGCACACAAAGAAAGCAGGTAATCAGCGCCTATTTCTACAAATCATCTCATTAGTACACAATGAACGCTGGTTTTCGGCCAGTTTTTAGGCAACTATTATGAAAGTAGTAGTATGCTACAAAGATGTCTAGTTCATATTCAGATGAAGACTTCATATTGACGAATTTCTAAGGACACAACGTACAAAGCAAGATATACGGTATACATCCAGTAAATCGTGAACGAGAACTTTATGGTGAATATCCACCATTTATTCCTTATGCACTTTATTCCTATTGCTGTGGGACTAAGTCGTTTGTCCCACAATGAATTTCTTTGAAAAATCGCAGAAATCAGTAATTCGACTTCCATTATCGATGGACGTCCAGCTCCGACCAGTGACCAAGTACTAAAAATTCATTTCGGTAAAAAGTCGGTGCCGATCTGCACTGCTAGCAACAAGTACCGATCTGCTTTGTCTGTGTGCGGGTGCATTTAAACGTGGGTTCAATTATTTGTGCTTATAAGCGCTTGTTACCAGCAAGCAGGCAACCTGCTTTCTTTGTGTGCGTACCCTAAGGTTACTGCGTTAGGGTACGCACACAAAGAAAGCAGGTTAATCAGCGCCTATTTCTGGCGCCGAAAATCAGCACCTACAAGTCATTTTTCTAGTAACAATGAACGCCGGTTTTCGGCCAGTTTAGACGCAATTTCCATACCACAAAGATGTCTAGTCATGGGCGTCCTTTTGGGGGGGGGGCAAGAGTGGGCATTTGCCCCCCCCCTAGAAATAGTCTTTTGAACAAGAAAGCAGTAAAAGAGAGTTCGTACCGATGGTTGAGTTTCAACCTTCGGTTGAATCCTATCAATTTGAATGGAGTAAACCGAATGTTGAAATAACCATCGGCTGAGTGCAGGGCCGTAGCCAGGGGGGCAATGCCCTATCTTTTAAATGATGATGCCCTACCTTTAAAAATCAACATGCATTAAGGTTTCTCTAGAAAATTTAAGAGTAGATAATGCCTGAAGTAGAAAGGCCTGAAATCGAGTAAGCGAGGATGAATGTTTCCGAAAACGCCTAAGTCGCCTAAAGGTAATGAACAATGTTTGACGTTTGCACAGAGGAAGTTTTTTTGTTTTGAAAGAGTAGGAATGGCCCAAGGCGGCCGGCGCTGGAATCAGCGCCATTTTGTTTACTTGCCAAAGATGTTATTTATTGCAAGGTTGTTTGATAGAGGCGAGAGAGGTAGGTTGCCAGGTCTCTTTATGACGTCATCTAGGGTGCCTCAACATAATGCAAATCTCTATAAGGTACCCCAGATCAAATGCGTCATCAAAGTTACCCATTGCCAGACAAACCTGAACCTTGATTTATTGAAAAGTTTGCCTTCGGCAATCGGCGCCATTAGCCCCATTTTGTTTACCTATAAAAAACTTAAGTAGGGGGCAAGTAGTGTATGCCCTATGTCAAATTTATCATGCCCTATCATAAATTTGACTCTAGCTACGGCCCTGATTCAGTGTTTCATAATACCGGCCATTAGACAATTACCTAAACAAATGATGCGGACAGTGAATTTGTAGCGGAAAAAATACCATCATTTTTAACTATCGATATCGAATAAGTATGTTAAAATGCTAAAAATTCATTCCGGTAAAAAGTCGGCGCCGATCTGCACTAGCAACAAGCACTTATCTGCTTTACCTGTGTGCGGGTTCATTTAAACGTGGATTTAATTATTGGTGCTTATAAGCGCTTGTTACCAGCAAGCAGGCAACCTGCTTTCTTTGTGTGCGTACCCTTAAAGTACGTACAAAGAAAGCAGGTTGCCTAATAAATGGCGATATTCACCATAAAGTTTTCGTTCACGATCTACTGGATGTATACCTTGCTCCGTGCGTTGCATCATCCTTAGGAATGTACTTTCCGTCAATAAAAAGTCTTCATCTGGAGATGAATTAGACATCTTTGTGATATGGAAATTGCGTCTAAACTGGCCGAAAACCGGCGTTCATTGTGTACTAGTGAAATGACTTGTAGGTGCTGATTTTCGGCGCCGGAAATAGGCGCTGATTAACCTGCTTTCTTTGTGTGCATACCCTTAGACCTTAGAGCAGGTAAAGTGCTATCCTACGGACATAAGGAGTAGGAGTGCTTGTGAAACTAAAATGAAGCCAAGTTTTTGGCGGGTGTTTGGCACCAACATACAGGTAAAGCATTGAATTGCCTATACGGCCATTTTTTGGTGCCAAAATACCTGGAAAAAAACGGCTTCATTTTCCAACTCCATGTTACTACTCCTTTACCTTTACATGCTCTAAGGGTCAGACCCATTCTGTATAAAATGTCAAAGATGCTAATTTAAATTTATTCTTTTTAATTTTAATAAATTGTTTGAATTTGTCGCCTTTTACAGATAACAATGCATATTATCTTAAGGGGTATCATCAGCAGTGATTTTTTTGGTTAACCTTCTCTCCGTTAATATGCATAATTAAAAAAAATGCTTTATGTAAAAGTCATAGGAAATTACCTACTTAATTTAATTGATCATTAGGTCAGAATTTTCAAATTCTATTTGTTTTTTTATTTTGCTTGAAAAAATGCAAATTTTCAAATTTGGGCCTAATCACGTAAAATGGATAATGAATTTAGACATACTGTCAAAAAACAAAAAATATAGAAAAAATAGTTTGTCCCTCAGAGGTTTGTCCAAAAAGCTTCGTCAAAGTATTTAGCCAAAAGTACGTTGATGCGATGCTACCGCGATCAATTAATCCCTTACAATAAGTTCTTTTGACAAACGCTGGCAACGATGCATAAGTTGAGAGGAGCTGGGCAGCAGGCAGGCAAAAAAATTCGTCTTTTTCTAGGTTCTAGCAAAGTCTAATCTAGCATTGTTCTAACAATCGAGGGTTCTGGGAATCATCAAATTACCGCAAGAAAAGGGTTTTGTAGGTGTGTTATGATGAGATGATTTTTATTGGGGCTTGTTGGTTCATGGTTTATTCTAGCGATAATATGCAAAATCAAGATTTTTTTACTCAGAAAGATTCAACCAAAATGATCAGTTGATCACTTTTCGACGTTTGGTTCTTCTGAAATCCGCATTTCTTCAGTTTAGTAGATAGCTTGGCTATTGATTGAGCCATTTTCGAAATAAAGTGGAAATAAGCCAAAAACCGACTATTAATTAAAATCCTTGATGTTTTGATATAAACGTAATTTTCTAAATCAAAAAAATGGATTGAGGATTGAGGATTGAGGACCTGCATTAAAATGACTGTGAATTACAGGATGAAGCAAGACACAATTTTTTTAAGCAAAGTGGATTATCTTGTTGCAGACATAAAGAATATATCATTCCATGTTTTTGGGGATCATAAGAAATGTGCAGAAAGGGGTTACTTTAAATGCAGCAGAAAAGACTCAGAAGAAAATTATATTCCCCTTATGCAGACATGTGATCTCCTTCAAGATATCGATGTATGCTTTAATAGACTCGTTTTTAATGCAGCAAGCCTTATCCATAATATGGATAATAATCTTGCAGAGAGCTATAATTCGGTAATATGCAAGTTTGTTGGAGGAAAAAGAAATAATTTTAGCAAAAAAGGCTCTTATCAGACCAGATGCGCAGCTGCCGCAATTTCTTTTAATGTTGGTAGTGGAGACTTTCATCTTACCATAGGCAAGGCGATTGGTAACGCTACTCCTGAAGCTTATACAAAAAAATATGCTGACAAATTGAAAATAAAAAGATCAAAAAAAAAAAAGCTATTTAGTAAAAAACAAACAAATGCGCATCTTCCTGATAAAGATTATGGACCAGATGCTAATGCCGAATCGGATCTAACTGAAGAACGGTACCAATTTAAAAAGAAAATATTTCTAAAGGAGCTCGGAAAGTCAGGAGAAGAAATTGCAAAGCTGGGAAAAGAAACGGAAGGTCAATCGGGCAGCCCACTGTGGAAGCAGGAAAGGAGCCTTCGGCTCACCGCCTCCAATTTTGGAACTGTTTACAAAATGAGGAAAACAACAAGTTGCGAAAATACTGTGAAGAATCTTCTATATTCTAAATTTATTGGAAGTTCTGCAACAAGATATGGAACAGAAAAAGAACCGTTAGCCATAAAAGCATACGAAACCTACACATAAGAAATAGTGGAGCCTTGTGGTTTGTTTGTCGATAAAAAAACATTGTTTTCTGGCAGCTAGTCCAGATGGACTTATTCAGGAGGAGGGGATAATTGAAGTCAAGTGCCCTTCCTCAGCGGAAAAAATGACGCCAGAAGAGGCGATTCAACAAAAAAAAATTTTTTTGCTACCCTGAATAATGGGAAATTTGAGGTAAAGCAAAACCACAATTATTTTTACCAAATTCAGGGACAACTACATATAACCAAAAGGAAATATTGTAATTTTCTAGTCTGGACGCCATTAGGATTCCTTGTACAAAAGGTATGATTTTTGCCATATTTTTATAAAATGTTTAATATACCTATTGTTTATTTTTTTCAGATAGATATGATTTATTCTGGGAAGAGAAAATGGAACCATTATTGAAACAATTTTATTTCAAATGTCTATTCCCAGAAATAATTGATCCAAGATTCACGAGAGGACTAAAAATAAGAGATGCTGCTCGGGATGATTGACAGGAGCTTTATTTTTTGGTTGTTTTAGTTATTTTTTTGAATAAACCTGTTTTTAATTTCAACACAGTTTCTTTGTGAATTTATTTTTCCACCGTTCTTCAAAAAGTTTTCGCTTTAGCTGTCCAACAAAACTGTTTATTCGGCCCTACTATAAAAATATTATTACGTGCCCATATCGTAAATTACTCCCCCCAAATTATAAGTCGTTTTTGGTAATTATTTCACATTGAAAGCGAAAGGCAATATTGGCACGCGACAAGTTAGGTACCTACCTACCTACGAAGAAGGCACTGTTGCCAATGCAAAAATATGGTCTAGTGACGAGCGCTCCGGTCGACTATGCTCGAAAGGCGCGCCGTCGAAATATTTTTTTACTGATGATACCCCTTAAAAACTCTGAAGATTGAACTTTTTGGAAAACACTACTTTATTCAAAAATACAAAATAAAAATGGATATATTAATATCTAACTTAATAATGACGCCTTAAACTAAAAAAATATCTTTAAAATGTGTTGATGTTGCGGATTCCGTGGGACCGTTGCGAACGGCCCTGACATGATATATTCAGATAACTGTTGATCAAGCGCCTAGACGCGATTTTTGTACGATTGCGGTATTTACTTCGAAGTTCAAATCGGTTTTTATAATAACTAAGCTCCTTTCAGTCTTGTTTAAATCCCTTCAACAGTGAACCATAAATCGAAGTTCGCACTATGTACACTAGGTGGCGACACCGACACACACTGACGTCACCCACGTGACTCAGGCCACTTTGACGTCATCATAGAACCTGAACCATAAATCGAACTTCGCACTATGTACACCAGATGGCGCCACCGACACACACTGACGCAACCCACGTGACCCAGGCCGCTATGACGTCATTACACACCCCGAACCATAAATCGAGCTTCGAGCTATATACACTAGATGGCGCCACCGACACACACTGACGTAACCCACGTGACCCAGGCCGCTATGACGTCATAGTAGAACCCGAGATATAATTAAATATACGTAGCAGCATCTAAACGACATCATATAAATATAATGATATCTCTAAAGTAATTGACCGGTATTGATATCGGAATCAGACAGATACATTTAATCCCAGTTATACGATATTGTTTCGGTGGCTAGATTTTATATAATTGAACCAAAAACAGCCCATTATTGCCATCAAAACATTATGTTTTCAGCAGTTCTTAAGTTTAAGTATATATCAAATGCTCGATGGATTTGTCGTTGATTACATTTTTAAGTTTATTAGCTGATTCATAGGGCACTAGCTCTGTTTCAGATTAGTTTGACATGAGAATTTACTAAAGCACGTGAGTTTTCATATCTTATATCTTTCACAGCCCTACATGCATTCTGATAGTTGTTCTCAGATAATTTTATGTAGTTTGCAAAACCTGAGCTGCACTTCCCTGCAATGTTGAACGCGAATGCTATTTGTGTACCTTTCCTAGTCACATGAACATCATTGTGAATTATGAACGTAAAAATAGAAACAATTATTGCCAATTGTCTCTTTTTTACAGCAATTTGATCGACTGACAGAGGAACCGATAGCAACGACGCTGGACGGATCAAATAGCGGCTGGCAAAAAATCGATGTCACTCAAATAGTCAGTACGTGGCTCGCAGAACTGAGAAAAGAGAAACTAAGGCTATTTGTCGACTGTAGCTGTTGCGGTCATTGGCGTATTCACTTGTTCAACGAGGAAAGTGCCAAATGGACGAACCATCCGAATAGACCTTTTTTGGTGATACGAACGGATCCGAATACGGCAAAAAGAGTGAGAAGGAGAGCGATAGACTGTTCTGTAGATTCAGGTAAATAATCAAAACCATTGTTGTAGTATAGAAGACAAAATTATAGGTGGGGATGGTCCATGCATTTCCGTAAGAAATTTCAGGGGAGAGGTAGTAACCAGTGGAAAACGAGTAATCTTATTTTTCGAATATTCAATAAGCAGATTGAAAAAAATCAAAAGTAACACTTTGCACTGCTACAAGTTTTAGTACAAAAATAGTAACAAAAATAGTAATTTCGTTTAAAGAAAACATGAACTAATAATTGAAGGCCCCGCTAAAAAAAATAACAACGGGCCCTTCTTTTTTTTTGATCTCTCGAATAAATAATAACGCCCCCCCCCTTTTTTTTAGTCCCCTGCCGGGCCCTCCAGGTCCCCCCTCTTGTCGGGCCTGATCATAACCTCATTAAATTGGATTTGTAATAATTTTAGGCTGTTCATTTGTACTGCTTTTCTTGCTTCAAGCAGATTTCAGCAGCTGATCGGCGTTCACTTGTCCCATAACTCCCACATAAATAGCAGCTCCTAGCAGATCTTCCTGATTTTTCGAGCAGGTAGCAAGTAAAATCTGTTTTTTTTTTTAAAGATAAAAGTCAAAATGACATTATGTTGGCAATATAATGTAAAAGTGTCAATGCTTTCAAATTTTTTATGTAGAAAAGGCTTGTGTTGCCAACATAGTTACTAAATTTTTGACTTGGGGAATTATCTTTAAAAAAAAAAACGAACCTTACAAATGAACAGCCTATTTGTTTGTATTTGACGTCTTTTTCGGTTAAAGTTTTTAAAACTGGTTCGATTGCTGTCATTATATCGGTGGTGATCAAAAATTGCCGTTATAAAACGGTGCACGTGACATTTCTAAAATTATTAATTTGTGTACTATACCCTTAGAGCAGGTAAAGGAAAAGAGGAGTAGTAACCTGGATTTGGAAAATGAAGCCGTTTTTTTCCAGGTATTTTGGCACCAAGAAAATGGCGCTTATGGCAATTCAATGCTTTACCTGTATCTTGGTGCCAAACACCTGCCAAAAACTTGGCTTCACTTTAGTTTCATAAGCAGAATGGCGCGTTCCTACTCCTTATGTCCGTAGGACAGCGCTTTCCTGCTTGACTATACCAATGCCCAATGTTATTTTGAGGTCAGCTGTTTAAAGTTCATTTTGAACAGGCTCAAAGAGCGGTTCGAACCGGTGCCACGCGGGATTATTGGCAACAAGGATAATACACACTACTACTACAGCATAGCTTATCCTCATAAGGCCTGTGTAGATCAAATCTCAAGCCCCCCACCGACAAAAAAACAGTGAAGACGTAGGCAGCGAGTCGTTTCTCGCCTTGAAGTAGGGTAACCACAGGTTATGATTTTGCGGGCATTTGCTTTATGTATACTTGTTTTAGTATAGTATTTTTAATCTGAGCTGAAACACTGAAAAAACATCTAGTCGGCATACATCAAACAAATAAAGGACATGGGCGCCACATAATTTTTATTTCTCTAAATGGTGATAATCAATATCAAACAACACAACTAAATAATACGTGGAATAAAACACCAAATTATATACATATAAATTGGGATGACACTGGTAATAGATAACGCGTGGTCTAGTCAGCCCAGGCACCCGCATCCTTCTCGGAAAGACGTAAGTAGCCCACCCCAATAATTCAACCTATAGGCGCGTGCCGACCTAAATCATTATTTTGGGCTACTGTAGCGATATCTCCTCGCTGCTTATATTTTATACAGGGAAAATTCACAATAGATTTTCTATGAAGTTAATAGAAGAGTGCGATGGGATGTTGAAATATCCTCGTATAATGCAGTGTTTTTCAAGTCAGAATAAGAATACTATACATTAATTAACAAAAACAACGCTTTTTCGGATCTCGTTTGCATCTTCCTATTTGCCTATTATGGTAATCAAATGTAAATTAGTATATTCAAGGCAAGGGGAAGACGAGGGGAACGGCTAAAAACCCTAAAAATTACTATAAAATGCAAGTAAATTACTAATATCGAATTTAATTGCTAGAGCAAGAAGTTCAGGACAATTGTAATTTGCAGCTGCTGGAAATGAAGAAAACGCTATTTGACAGGGTTTGACATATTATTGTCAAAAATATGAAATGAGTGAGAGTGTTCAAATGTTCATGTCACACTACACACTCACATCTAGTTGTTACCGTTGGCGTATTTACATTCTATACCATTATACAGATGAATGCCATTCTCTACCGTAGTATGATTTGTATATCTGAAACGCGCGTATGTTTACTCCAAACAACTCCAAATCATACCGCGATACAGATGGACCTTTACCATAGTAGGACATGAAGTTACAATAAGCGCCTATTTCTACTCCAAATCAAACCGCGATACAGAGTTTTCGCAACAATATGCAATGGATGCAGAACGCCGCCACTCCATTTCCTAACAACGTGCAGTTGTTAAGCCAGCCATGTGCATTTTAGTTCGCTGCATTTATAGTTACCTATTGCAATAATTCTGTGTTAATATAAATATCGTTGAAATCGCAATTTCAGATAGAACCAAATATAAATGGCTTAAAGGATATTACCCACCAAGAGGATGTAATTGAAAGTTATAATTACGTTAGTTGCAATGACTACAGTATTATTATAAGAAGCAATAAGGATCATCATAAAGATAAGAC